AGTTGTACTTTCCTTTATTAAATGCATGAGAATGTCTAAACTTGACTGTGGATCTCTGCCTCTTAATCATGCCGGGAATCAAGCACAAGAGGGGGGCATGACTTTTTGCTGCTAAATACAATAATGGCCGGAAAAAGGTCAGACAACACAAGGTTTCTGTGAGTTGATTGCTCCCATTTGTACCAAGTTAAACACACACACATTGGGGAAGGTAAATTTGCAACATGGGATATTATCATGTGTTAATATTGGGGTGGGCGGTGGGGGGGGCAGAGTGTGCACTGGGGGTAACTGCTGGAGTTTAACCAGCTAATCTACAAAGCCCTTCGCACCCTGGCACCTCCCTGCCTTGAGGTGTTTTCTCCCCACTGCATTACCCGCTGCTTCCGCTCAGCCAACTCCGGCCTCCTGCTTGTCCCTCGGCCCCTCCGCTCCACCATCAAGAACCGTGCTTCAAGCCGCACCCCGAATGTTTGGAACTTTCTCCCCCAATCCCTCCACCTCGCCCCCTCCTTCCCCTAGCTTACATCACAACTGAAGACCTTCCTCTTTGACCGTGCCCACGGTCACCTCCACCCTTTCCATGGCTCGGCATCAGGCTCCGTCACTGTCAAGCGGTCCAAGATGCTGCCCTGCATGAAGGGCGCTGTCAAAGTTGTTGTTAGAGTCAACAGGGGTGTACACACTACATAAAGGTGAAAGTATAATGAGCAGGAATCTTCAGGATGTGAAATGAAAAACAGGAACTGCACGAGGTGCGGGGGTGGGAGAAAGATACCACCAATGAATTGGACCGATTCTCAATAACACACACCTCGAACGTATGGCCTGACATCCTATCGGAAGCTTTGCTGAAACGTGTCTCCTCCAGCCAGGGCTCAGAAGCACAAGTCCGACTAGACTGAAACACATTTGCTTTCCTCGCATGGATTCTGTACGACTAACAAACAAAATGTGCTTGCTCCATTTTCTGACTGAAGCTTGCAAGAGAATGGTTGAGTTGGTTGCCGATGGGAATTCGCTCAAGAGATGATGCTGTTGCAAAATAAGCTGCTGGCGTTTTCCAAAGGCAAACGAACTGAAAGGCAGGGAGTGAAATTCAAGGATACAGGAGTTCACAATCTGAACGATATTCCACTCAGCATCAGTCCTCTTGTTGAAAAGAATTGGTTCGTACTGAAAGCTTTGAAATGCTGCCAGTTCCAGGATCCACATCAAGGGCAGAGAAAGATGCTTGTCCAGCCTAGTTTGCAGTTAGAGTCTTTGCTTCAAGACATCGTGGATAATTTAGCTGACTGGCGCTTTGAATATTGACGTGCAGCCTTCTCAGAAGCAAAAGGACTTTGTAATGAATTTTTCCCCCTAAACTCCAAGGGACGAGTATTTTACATTGCAAATATTTTTTTCCCCATTGGCGTCATTGCCCTTGATAAATAATGTTGAGAACTGAGTACGTTTCAGTGTTGACCTCATAGAACCTCATCATGTCATTGAGACGTCTCAAAGCGCTTCGCAGAATATACTGTAAAGTGGACTTATTTGTGTATTTGGAGGGGAGAGGGGGAGGGACCTGGCAGCCAATTGCACAAAAGCAGTGCCCCACAAACAGTCGTGGGTTGAAGTGACCAATTTTTTTTTGGAGGGGTTATTACACCCCCGGAAAGTGATCCACCAGTTGACTGACAACCGGCCAAGTTCCGCAGAGCTTTTACGCTGCTCGTTAACAAGGTTCGTTTATGCATTGCTTAAAAAGAACATGACTGCTCCAGAAGGGAATGACCCCCAAATGAATGTCACCTTTATTTTTTTTGCACCTAACAGATATTTCAACGCACAAAATATTTCACCTTCAACTTCAAGGCCTGGGAAGTGAGTGTGAAGTGGACAGTGATTCCACTTGGCACTTTCAAAACGAAGCAGGAATAGTCAACGCCAATGTTTCATTGAAAGTGAATTGAAATTTCCAGAATCCGTAAGATCCCGACCAAGTGTTCAAAGCTGAGATTTGTGGCAATATTCTCAGATGAACCTATATTTGGCCTCTTCGATTTTTATTATGCTGAAGAATTCTCACTTGCCTCTTGAGTTTAGTGAACTGTGAAATGATTTGAAACTAAGGTGGTGTTCTGCAGTTATTGTTGTATTTATTTTTAGTGGAAGTCCTCTTCCAACCTCTACCTAATCACAACAGCTAGCATTTACACAGCCGCCTTTGTGCAGGGCAGTGTCTCTGAGCGCTTAACAGTGGCGGAGCCTGACTCCGAGCCGGGGGGGGAGGGGAGGAGATAACCATAAGCACGGTCGAAGAGGAAGGTCTTCGGTTGTGAACTAAAAAGAGGGGAAGGAGGGGGCAAGGCGGAGAGATTGGGGGAGAGACTTCCAAAGCTTCGGGGGGGGGGGTAATGGCTGAAAGTGCAGCCGCCGATGGAGGAGCGGAGAGGACAAGGGACAAGTAGGACACCAGAGCCAGCCGAGCGGAGGCAGCGGGGAGCGGAGTGGGGAGAAAGCAACGCTAACGCATGACAATAATTTCTCCTCACGTGAAGAACCGTTGTAATTATATGAGCAAATGTTCACCCTACGTGGGAATCGCGTCCGGGTCCTCTCGCCTGCGAGGGGAGCGCTCTACCCAATACTCTATAGGAGTCAAAATCTACGCCGTTCTTTCTCAAGGGCTTTTCTTGTCTAACAGTAGTGAGATTCCACTGTCGTCCCCCTTTTCTCTGTAAGGCAATAACTGACCTTTGTTCTTGTGAGAACTGTGTCTTAATAGTCCTTTTCTTTCTTTACCAGTGGGAGCTTCAGATGGAAAACATGCCGTACAGTCGAAGTTCGTAACCCAATATCTGCTCGAAATGCAGACTCAATTCTCGTCAGTTCTCGCAGTAACTTGCGATGCTATTAAACCTCTGGCGAGAGCAATCCGGAGCGGACAGTGTAGTATTAATTTAGCTTCCTGCTCCCAGTTGTTCTTCTGCTCCAAGCTGTGTTGATTATTTCCAGCGGCGGTGAAAGAGGCTGAAGAAAGAGACCGAAATTCTGTATGCTGCGGATTTAGTGGTGGGGGGGGGGGGGGGGGGGGGGGGGGTGGAAGGGCACGGTTGTAGCCTTCTGCTGTAAATAAATTACGCTTTACGATGCACGCATTTATTTGATGACTTGAATTGAATCAAGTCGCTTAGATGGCTGGACAATTAAACACCTTGTACGCCCCCGTAACCGACAATGGTTTCTTTATTGATTTGCACTCCCGGCGGCTCTCGGCGTCAGAGACCTTTATGGCCGGGACCCTTTTGCACGACGCCTCAAACACAAGCTCAGTTGACGGAATGCGCTCTTCATCCTGGACAGACACAACAAAATACATTGCTCGCGGCTGTTTACTGCGCACGCGTTGGCCGCTGTACTGGAGACGACAAATAGCCGCTTCGGTTTACAGCAATTTTATTTGGAGCACCTCTTGAGTTTGTTTCGAAGATACAGGAGTATTATTAAAGGAACAACTGCAGTGCAATAAAAAACAGGAACGTAATAGAGAAAAGCCGTGTAACTGCAAAACCCTATTGCCTGCGTGCGCGTGCGTGTCTGTGTGCGCGTGTGTGTCTGTGTGCGCGTGTGTGTCTGTGCGCGCGTGTGTGTCTATGTGCGTGTGTGTGTCTGTGTGTGCGTGTGTGTCTGTGTGTGTCTGTGCGCGCGTGTGTGTCTATGTGCGTGTGCGTGTCTGTGTGCGCGTGTGTCTGTGCGCGCGTGTGTGTCTATGTGCGTGTGTGTGTCTGTGTGTGCGCGTGCGCGCGTTGTGCGTCTCTGTGTGCTAAATACAGCAACAATAACTTGCATTTACACAGCGCCCTTCATGACCGGGGGGGGGGGGGGGTTGGGCTCATATACAGAGTGCGCAGTGTGAGCGTAGGCTGCGTGATGTGTGTCACTCTGCGTGTCAACCCGCTCGCTACAACGGTGACACACGCTGTACGCGCGCAGGCTCGCGCGCGCACAATGATATGCAGCACATACAGTGTGTACACACAGCACAGACTGCACGGTGTGAGCTGTGCGCTGCAGTGTACTGACGCCGGGTCACTGTGCAGTCGTGTGCGCTCTGTGTCCACTCTCTCTGTGTGCTCTGTACCCCCCCCCCACCCCCGCCCCTCTCAGTGGCTGTGTACCCCCCCTCTCTCTCAGTGCCTCCCCCCCTCTCTCAGTGGCTGTGTGTCCCCCCCCTCTCAGTGCGCCCCCCCTCTCTCAGTGCCCCCCCCCCCTCTCTCAGTGGCTGTGTACCCCCCTCTCAGTGTCCCCCCCTCTCAGTGTCCCCCCCCTCTCTCAGTGTCACCCTCCCCCTCTCTCAGTGCCCCCCCCTCTCTCAGTGGCTGTGTCCCCCCCCCCCCTCTCAGTGGCTGTGTCCCCCCCCCCCCCCTCTCAGTGTCCCTCCCCCCACCCCCTCTCAGTGGCTGTGTTCCCCCCCCCCCTCAGTGTCCCCCCTCTCTCAGTGTCCCCCCCTCTCTCAGTGTCACCCTCCCCCCTCTCAGTGCCCCCCCCCTCTCTCAGTGGCTGTGTCCCCCCCCCCCCTCTCTCAGTGTCCCCCCTCTCTCAGTGCCCCCCCCGTCTCTCAGTGGCTGTACACACTCACTCAGTGCTGAGAGCCTCCCTGTTGAAGGGGTGACCCCCCCCCCCCACCAACCCCAGCCAAGCCCGCCCCCTGACCCCACAACCCAGCCCCGCCCACCCTGACCCCCACCTTAGCCCCGCCCACCATGCGACTGCGGCCCCGCCCATCCCAATATAGCCCCGCCCCCCACCACAGCGTCCCACATGGCCACGCCCCTCACAGCCACGCCCCCACACCACAGCCACGCCCCCACACCACAGCCACGCCCCCACATAGCCCCGCCCCGCACCACAGCCACGCCCCCCACATAGCCCCGCCCCCCCTGCCCCCCCCTCTCTCTGTGTCTGTGCTGATCCCCTCCTGATTCCCCGCCTCTCTCTCTCTCTCTCTCACTCACTCAGTCACTCACTCTCTCCCGTGAGGTCGGCGCCGGGAGCCTGAGCGCTAGGCCCGGGGCTGAGGATGGAGTGGCAGCGCGGGGACCCCCAGGCCCAGGCCCAGGCCCAGGGCCCGGCCCGCGGCAAAGACAAGGACAGGGACAGCAAGTCCAGCAAAGCCAAGCGCGGCCTCGAGGAGGGGGAGAGGAGGAGCAAGTTCGTAAGTCACCAAACTCCCCCCTCCCCCTCCTTCACCCTCACCGCCACTCTCACTCACTCTCTCCTTCCTTCACCTTCAGCCACTCTCACTCACTCTCCCCTCTCCCTTCCTCTTCCCTCCTCACCTCACGTCACTCTCACTCCCTCTCTCCTTCCTTCACCTTCACCGCCACTCTCACTCACTCTCCCCCTCTCCCTTCCTCTCTCCCTCCTTCACCCTCACTGTCACTCTCACTCCCTCTCTCCTTCCTTCACCCTCACCGCCACTCTCACTCCCTCTCTCCCTCCTTCACCTTCACTCTCACTCCCTCTCTCCTTCCTTCACCTTCACCGCCACTCTCACTCACTCTCCCCCTCTCCCTTCCTCTCTCCCTCCTTCACCCTCACCGCCACTCTCACTCCCTCTCTCCCTCCTTCACCTTCACTCTCACTCCCTCTCTCCTTCCTTCACCTTCACCGCCACTCTCACTCACTCTCCCCTCTCCCTTCCTCTCTCCCTCCTTCACCCTCACTGTCACTCTCACTCCCTCTCTCCTTCCTTCACCCTCACCGCCACTCTCACTCCCTCTCTCCCTCCTTCACCCTCACCGCCACTCTCACTCCCTCTCTCCCTCCTTCACCCTCACCGCCACTCTCACTCCCTCTCTCCCTCCTTCACCTTCACTGCCACTCTCACTCCCTCTCTCCTTCCTTCACCTTCACCGCCACTCTCACTCACTCTCCCCCTCTACCTTCCTCTCTCCCTCCTTCACCCTCACCGCCACTCTCACTCCCTCTCTCCCTCTCCCTTCCTCTCTCCCTCCTTCACCCTCACCGCCACTCTCACTCCCTCTCTCCCTCTCCCTTCCTCTCTCCCTCCTTCACCCTCACCGCCACTCTCACTCCCTCTCTCCCTCCTTCACCTTCACTCTCACTCCCTCTCTCCTTCCTTCACCTTCACCGCCACTCTCACTCACTCTCCCCCTCTCCCTTCCTCTCTCCCTCCTTCACCCTCACCGCCACTCTCACTCCCTCTCCCCCTCTCCCTTCCTCTCTCCTTCCTTCACCCTCACCGCCACTCTCACTCCCTCTCTCCCTCCTTCACCTTCACTCTCACTCCCTCTCTCCTTCCTTCACCTTCACTGCCACTCTCACTCCTTCCCCCTCTCCCTTCCTCTCTCCCTCCTTCACCCTCACTGTCACTCTCACTCCCTCTCTCCTTCCTTCACCTTCACTGCCACTCTCACTCCCTCTCTCCCTCCTTCACCTTCACCACCACTCTCACTCACTCTCCCCCTCTCCCTTCCTCTCTCCCTCCTTCACCCTCACTGTCACTCTCACTCCCTCTCTCCTTCCTTCACCTTCACTGCCACTCTCACTCCCTCTCTCCTTCCTTCACCCTCACCGCCACTCTCACTCCTTCCCCCTCTCCCTTCCCCTCTCCCTCCTTCACCTTCACTGCCACTCTCACTCACTCTCTCCCTCCTTCACCCTCACCGCCACTCTCACTCCTTCCCCCTCTCCCTTCCTCTCTCCCTCCTTCACCTTCACTGCCACTCTCACTCCCTCTCTCCTTCCTTCACCTTCACTGCCACTCTCACTCACTCTCTCCCTCCTTCACCTTCACCACAACTCTCACTCACTCTCTCCCTCCTTCACCTTCACTGCCACTCTCACTCCTTCCCCCTCTCCCTTCCTATCTCCCTCCTTCACCTTCACTGCCACTCTCACTCCCTCTCCCCCTCCTTCACCTTCACTGCCACTCTCACTCCCTCTCCCCCTCCTTCACCTTCACACCAACTCTCTCTCTCTCTCTGTCTGTCTTTCCCTCTCCTTCTTTCTTCCTTTATTCACTTCACCTTTCATCTCATTCCTTCTTTCTTTCTCCCCTTTCCTTCTTTATTTCTGTCTCTGCCCGTGTGCTGGGGGGGGGGGGGTGGGAGGAGGAGGTTGTGCACTCGCTTACAAGACGCACAGTCACTACACTGAACAGCACAACAACAACAACAACAGCAGCAGCAGCAGTCAGTCTGCTGTCAGTCCAGTCCAGTCCAGTCCAGGCTGACGCTCCAGGGGAGCCGCGGTGGGGGGTCAGCATCCTTCCTTCTTACGGCAGACGGCAAACCTTTACTTAGGTGGACTCTCGAGATCTGGTGACCCGGTTCGGAAAGCGAGGGAAGTCTCTCCCAGTGGTGGGGGTTTTTTTTCCACCCTCCACCGACCGGGCTGGCGCGCGGACCGGCTGCCCGCGGCGTTCGGCCCACCGAGAGGTCACTCGGGCTCGAGAGTAATCACCCGTAAATCGCTTGGAGACCTTGCGACCTTTGGGGTCTCCTCCCTCAGACACCCTCGAACGTTTTGCTTATTTTCTTGCGTTTGGAAAAAAATAAGAGTGATTGTTGTTTTTTTTTTTGACGATTTGCTACCTCCGCCTGTTGCGCTCTTACCAATCGAGGTGCACGCGGGGGCGGGGGGGGGGGTGGGGTGGGGTGGGGGGGGTACTTATCCAAGGTTCTGCTGCATGCCGCCGTTCTATTCTCGTGATGGAAGTGGGTTTCTTTTTATATTTGCTCTTCGTGCCAATGGAGGACGTCCGGCTTAGTATTTCTCGCACTCACTGATTCGCACCTGACTGGCTCTCTCCCCGAGCGCCGTGCATGCTGCTTAAGCGTGATAAGAAGGGCAGATGTATTTAAATTAGCACGAGTCGTATTTTGAGCAAATTATATTTGGGGAGCTGCCACTCAGTAATTATCTTTGGCTACTTCATTCAACTCGAAAATTTCAAGGAACCCTAACCTATTGCGTTAGAAATATTAGTGCCTGTTTGACCGTTGGGTTTGCTTAACAGCCTTCAACAACCCTCACAATATTTCTGATTATCTCAATTGCTGAAGAGATGAGGAAGTTAATGCTTTTCAGTTGCAATTGGAATTTTAAAACGTTCAATTTGAGGAGGATAAGCTCTTTTTGGGGTGGGGTGCGGTCATAATAACATCAATTATTGATGGTTGGATTCAGTGAAAGACTTTTCAATCTCCGCATCTGAATTTCGTGTTGGATGGAAGTCAATTTTATGAGAAAACAATGGGGGAAAAAATTGGAACTTAACTTTTTCTCTGCTCTCTTCTCTCCAGAAGGTGTTTAATACAGTAATAATCCTTGCATTTGATACAGCGCCTTATCACGTGGTTGAGACGTCTCAAAGCGCTTCACAGAATATACTGTAACTCCTTTTCTCTCGTACTCGGGTATTATTCCGATATTGTTCCATAGAAGGCTGTTTGTTGTCCTCATAGTATTTTGGCCAAGTAGCCTTGACTGTGAGTGATGGAAACCCCTTTTGAGTTTTCTCCTCCCTAACCCAGGGTCCTGAGGCCAATCGTAGGCCCTGACTGATATCAATACCAATTGGAACTTGATACTGGGACCTTCTAGTCGACATTGTCCAGCGCTACACCAGTGATGACCCTTCGCCCATCAGGTTAATTGGAGATTCCTAGAGACCTGATTGAATCAAACTTCTGAGTTTCCTGTACACCACATTGTGTTTAACGGGGATTTCCACACGCAAATCAGATCATGGCAACCACCAGCGCTTTCCCTTTTGAAACAGAAACGTCCTCAGACAACCTCTTCTCCAAACTAACTGCAAGACCACAAATCTGTTTACATAGTTGCCGGCAGGCCGGGGCCTTCCGCACAGGCACCCGAGCGAGATGCATACATTGTGGAAAAAAAAATCTTTTTTGGCGTGCTCGTTCTTGTAAAATTTCGACAATCGCAAGCAACGAGAGGACCAGGTGTGACGCTGTCCATCACACTACCTCACTGCGACATACATCTCCCCCCCCCCCCCCCCAGGGAATCCTCAACGCCCCAAAAGAGTTCGGGGCATACAGGTGTACTGAGAATAATCATCTTCAGAATTCCACCTGAGGGTGAAATATGATCGTGGTGGATGATAGTTAATTGTAGGCCATTTGCTGTTCAGAGTTTGCAGTGAGTGAGTGAATGAAGGATCATCAAACCGCTTTGTGAACTAAATATAAAGGGTTTCTTTGTAGTGGAATGTGCAGTGTCTCTGCCATAAACAGGAAGTTACACTGAATTGAGAGCGAGACATTATCTAATCTTCGAGATGAGTTGCAACTCTTTCATTAATAGCTGCACAGTTTAGGTACCAATCCTGTTGCTTTAACACTGCTATTTTCAAGATAACGCTGCTTTTCTTTTTAAAAAAAAAGAGTCCCCGAGTTCTGTTTTGCTTATAAATAAACAAGCGTGATATCAATTTGATAAAGGACACAGGCGTTTCCTCTGTCTTACAAAACCTCTGCAGATTTGACACCTTTCCAAGTTTCTGTGTCACCTGCTAGAGTTATTCATTCTGCCCTGGGCTGGAAGTTTACTGCTCTCCCTTCTCGTCGTGACACTGGGTGTTTCAACACCTTTCCGAAATATCAGTGGTTTAAAGTCTGTTCCGAAAGATGGTACCTCTGAAAATGCGGCACTCAACCTCAGCTGTTGCGCTGGAGTGAGAGCCTACGAGTCCGACAGTGGACAAGTGTACCCTTTATGCTTGTCTCTTGAGTGCATTTATTCGGCATGATCTCATTTCTGCACAGACTAGTTTTTCAGGAATACATTCGAAGGCTATCTATCTGCTGGTTCAGTTATGCGGAATGGTAACTCTTTGTAGAATGGAAGTGTGACGCATAACAATTTAAGTGATCTGTACTTTCTGCCTGATTCCTGAAGTGACGGATGGGGACTTATACTTAGACGAGAAGTCATACAGTCAAGTAGACTATTGTTTAAAAAAAAGGAAGTACAATACTGTGAGTCAGAGGTTCCAGTTTACAAACAGTGGGAATGTGTGGGTTCACATTCCCACTGATCTTTTCCCTGACAGCTCATCCCATTGTTTTCCTGGGGGTGGAGAGAGGGTGGGGGACTATCCCAATGAATCATCTTCGTCACCTTCATCAACTGAAAAATATGACATTGGCGTAGAACGTT